TTCGCACACGAGGGTTTGCTCGAGACACTTCAAGGATTCAGATATTCAGAGCACACTCGCTGGCAGAAGAACACTTCATCCTACCGCTGTTCCTTCCATTTTTGCGTGGAAGAAAGATTCTCCTAAGAGGTGAAAACCACCAAAACTCCGGTATGTAGTCTCTAAAGCGGGGCCTCAAGTTGCCAACGAAGAACTCGAGGTAAATAGTACAATCTTAAATGTTGACAAGGTTGCCGACGAAAAGCTCGAAGTAAATAATGTAATACTAGCCTAAACGTTGACGAGGTATACGAAGTCCTTGCGGTCGAATGTACTTTTCAAGAGTGTAAACCTTCGCAAGAAGAAAGCGTCTCTGAAATAAAAAGACAAGTTGTGTGGGAATTCGCAGTCAAACGGTGAAGCTTCCGTTTCGTGTAGATCATCGCGGGATCTGGATCGACAATATTTTGATCTAACCTTCTGCTTACATATTCCTATAACCTGAAATAAAAGAATCCAAATCATAACTCTGCATAACGCACACGGCAAACGATCCTAAACATTCAATACGTCTTACCTTTTTACTAGCTGGGCTTTAGTTGACAGACCTTTGCACGAGTCGCCGCCACAGCGCAACCAAAACTGCAATTCGGAGTTCTTCAGTGTTGAGGGTTTTCTTCCAGCAAGCGAACTTCCCGGAATATCTTCTTCGGTTAGTAAACGGGGTCCATATAAAGCATTTGCCACATTTTCTCTTCCTGACCGGAAAGGTACGTTACCAAATGATGCGTTTGATGATAACTTCTCAGTCAAAACTGTAAAATTTCTTAGGTTTGCCCTTATGACCTCGTTTTCGCGCCACTTGCCCCAGCTTTTACAAGTTGGCGGCCATTTTGGAATAAGGTCTATTTCGGCTCAGTTATTTGAATGGATTCCTGACTGGTTCCCCTCCTCGGCTGCCATGTTGCATCGGGGGAATTTCATGCCGCTCAAAAGATTCTCAAAGCATCTAAAAGAGCTACATCCTCAGCATTGAATTTCTGTTGGATGACGGTTTCATAATTCTGGCGACAATCCAGTGTTTCATAACAAAGTCTTATAACAGGTGCATTTTCTGTATATGCTATAAAGGTTGTATATATTTGTTGTCAGCTGGCATGCGTTAAGTTAAGAAAACTAAGATCATTATTATGCTACTGATAATAATGATACTGTTTATAATAATAGTCATAGAAGACACACAGGGCTTGCACTGTATCTCGGAGAGCTCCATACAATTCTTTATAATAAAGTTATAAGGAATTGTATGGAGCTTTTCTAGCATTAGTCGAGACGCGGCGGGTGTTGTCATGTATGACACGCGTAAGGATCATACATGAAAACACCCGCCACGCAACGACTAACGATAAAAAAGCTCCATACAATTCCTTATAATAAAATTATAAGGAATTGTATGAAGCTCTCCGGGATACTTGCAGTGCAAGCCCTGTGTGTCATCCGCGGCGGATGATGATAATAATGTTGATAATAAGAAATTTTAACATAGAGAGGACCCTCAAAGCCTTCCTCTGAACGTTGGAGACATTTTAAATTCAACTCGGCTAGTTTCTTCGGTTTCATTATCATAGATTTCCAAAAAGCAGGGAACAAACTTCACGCTCCGTATGCAATTGCAATCGAAGGCTTTGAAACGCCTTTTCATCAGAGCAGCTGTTGATTATATTATGACATAGGTAGTAATAACAATGTTAACAGTAATGATAATTATGAACGGTTATACATGATAAAAATGGGATTCATATAACTTACGGTAAACAATGAGTGTTGTATGATTGGTTATGATGCCAACCGTGTTATTTGCTCTACATAAATACCATCCATCATCTGTTCTTCTTATGCTTTTGAAGATCAGAAATGCTGCTCTTTTTCTCGAACCTATCACTATTCCGTCTTTGATCCATGTAACATCTGGCTCTGGAATCCCTGATGCTGTGCAGCTGATATTAACGAAGGATCCCTCGCGGTAACTTCCTTGTAATGATGACAGGTTTATCTTTGGTGGCTCTGCAAGAATAAACAAGAACCAACGAGTAAAGTGAGGCTGATTTGCATATGACCTTTGGGACTGTTTTAAACGTGAGTTTATTATAATAGATGTCTTTGCAGTTTAAAGTAAGTTTTCCAAAATTTTAACTTTTATTTAAAAATCTTAAATCAAAAATCTTATCCTTGTATCTTGATTCCTCCAGTTCTTTATCTTGGTCCACCATAAGTGGCGCGTCCAGGTTTAAAAGAGTTTGGCTATTTTGTCAAAAATGCAATGCGAACCGCTGAACTGCTGTCAAGACCCATTTAAGGGCCTTTAAAATGATCCGGTGTGATATATTTACAAATCAAAATATGTATCATCTTTGAGCTTTATTCTTGTAGTTTAATTTCGTAAAGTTTCTTTCTTGCCCCGCCATAAGCAACGCGTCCAGCTTGAAAAGACTTCGGGCTAAAAAATGTAAAACAAATGTAAATAATATATGTTGACCTCTATTTTACCTCTGCGAAAAAGACGCGAAGTACTTTATTTCAACGGGTCGCCATTCAGACTTAAACGTAACAAGAAATTCATATTTTCCAAGAGCCAAGAGATAAAAGGACCATCTGCTAGCACAAAAGA